AGGGGATAGTTATAATACATTATGGGGGTATTTGTTTCAAATCCTATAATTTTAGGATATGAATTTCACCATGGGATTTGAAATCCATATGTATTTTGTTATGAGTTTTTTTTTTTTGAAAAGGAATGTAGGGTAACTTAACCAGCCAAGTCCTCAACAACACTCAGTCTAAAAAACAAAGGGATAAAAACATACCAAAAATAAGAGGATAAACAGTCAACTGACTTAGCTAGGGAGTGAACAACACTATTACCAGTACACCTTACATAAGAAACTTTAGAGCAGCCAGTAATAGTCAGACCAGCGCAAACTCTATCTGTAATAGGAGCCAAGGAAGCAAAAGGAGAAGGAGAGTCCACCAAGGAGACAACGTTTTAGGACAGCCAACAGCTCTGCATGATCCACATACATAGGACCCCTGATCCCCATAGAGTAGCAACCAATCACATGTTCATGGTGATCCCAAATAACACCTCCTAAACTAATAATATCTCCTTCCAGAGAAACAGCAGCATCTATGTTGAGCTTTAGCAAACCAGGAGTAGGGGTAGACCAAGCAGAAGGCTATTTAGAAGGGGTGACAATGTCACGGGAGAGACCTCTAACTCTATCCCCTTCCTCCACAAAATAGAGAATCTGAGCCACCAAGACCGAGGCCTCTCTAACACCACCACCATGAGAGCGCATATTCCTTTTTTCCCCATATAAACCATATGGTTGTGAAAGCCAAAGCCAGAGAGTCCCTAGGGCAAACAGAGGTGAGATGGAAAAGGAAATCACCACAAGACGTGCCTTGAAAACTATTAATCACTTCCTAAACATCTAAGGACTCTCATACTAAATGAGCAAAGGAACAGACAGTGAAGATATGAAGGGTGGTCTCAAAGATAGTAGAGCAAAGGTGGCAACTAGGGGGCACAGATATCCCTCTACGAGATAAACCAGTTGAGGTGAGGAGAGCAACATAGAACAGACGCCAAAGGAACACTCTAATCTTTGATAGGATCTCCGCATGCCAGATCAAGGACCACCACTTCGCTACCCTAGAATCCGAGGTGGAAGCAATATCAGGCATAGTGTGGCGAAGAAGTCGGTATCCACTCTTAACTGTGTAGCACCCCTTATCTTCATAATGCCAAATGAGTCTGTCAGGGATAGGAGAAGGCGACAGTGGGATAAATGAAATGTTCTCCCGATCTACCTGCCAAAAGGAGGTAACAATCAGCTCATGATTTCAAGTACCAGAAGCAGAGATCAGCTCAGCCACCCTTCTGAAAGGGTCAATCGGAGAAGTGATTGGCCTGAAAGAAGGGTCTTGGGATCCATGGGTCAACACAGATAGAGACACTCTGGCCATCACCTATCCTCCATCTCAGACCTCGAGCTAGGAGCTCTCTCCCCCATCTAATGCTCCGCTATAAATAAGAGCAACCAGGGCCGACACCACCTGAAAGGAAGTCCGAGTCCTTGAAATACTTTCCCTTCAAAACCCTACTAGCTAGAGAAGAAGGGTCCTGAATGATTCTCCATGCCTGCTTAGCCACCAATCCTGATTAAACATCTGTAGATCTCTAAAGCCTAGACCACCATCTGACTTTATACGACACACCTTCTATCACCTAACCCAGTGAATCTTTCTCTCACCAGAAGTTGATCCCCACCAGAATCTCATAATGATAGACTCAATCTCCTTGCACAAAGAAATTGGAATGCGAAAGATACTCATCACATAGCATGAGATCACCTACAAAATAGCTTTCACCATAACCTCTCGCCCCCTAGCTGAGAAAAGGGCCCTCCTCCAAGCTTGGACTCTTTTCCAAATTGAGTCTCTGTTTGAAGTAAAAGTCTAACATCGGATTCTTCCAACCACTAAAGATATGCCTAAGTACCAATCATATGACTGAGCCCTATCAAGCCCCAAGACAGAGAAAATAGAGGCTGTGGTATTCTCATCTACACAGGGGATAAAGGTGATGGCAGACTTCTGAAAGTTAACTTTCTGACCGGTTGTAGCCTCATATACTAGCAGAGTACTCTGGACAGTCTTTGCAGCGGCCTGTGAAGACTGAATAAAAACCAAAGAGTCATCTGCAAAGAACAAGTGAGAAATCCTTAGCCCCGACTGGGAACAAGATAACCCTCTGATGCACCTGTTCTCCTCATGTCTGATGATCAGTGCGAAGAGAGCTTCCGTGTAAAGAAGAAAAAAATATGGAGATAGTGAGCATCCTTGTCGCAGACCACGAGTAGGAGTGACCTGACCCACAATCTGCCCATTGAGGCAGAAAGAGAGTGAGGAAGTAGAGATACAGTCCAAGATGAGATGCCTCCAATGATCTGGAAGTCCCATGACCTGAAGGGCCTTGTCAGTAAACCCCACTCTACTCTATCAAATGCCTTACTCATATCCAATTTCAGTGTCATATGGCCAGACTGACCCCATCTCCTTTTTTGTAATGTGTGGAGAAGTTTAAAAGTAACAATGACATTGACCTGAATTGATCTCCCTAGGACAAAGGCACTCTGAAAGCATCCGATCAATCCGCCAAGAACTCGCTTCAGCCTATTAGTAATGGTTTTCGTGACAATCTTGTAGAACACATTACATAGACCAATGGGTCTAAAATCTGCCATAGTCTCAGGTGAATCCTTTCTGGGAATGAGAACCACATTGGTTTTATTCCAAGACCTGATAGACAAGCCCCCATTTAGAATCTTCAAACATGCAGCTAAAATATCTGGGCTAATAACAGACCACTGAGACTAAAAAAAGGATGCATGGAAGCCATATGGGCCAGGTGCCTTAGAAGGGCCCATAGATCGAAGAGCACCCCATACATCATCACCTGTAAAAGGCTCATAAATGATCCGGAGGTCATCCACTAAAAGCTTAGAAGAGATAATACCACCCACCTCAGCCAAAACCTCCTCTGAAGGAGTGGAAGAAAAAATAGTTCTGAGAAATACTCCTCAATAAGCGTTGCAATTCCCACCTGATCCTCCACCCAAGTGCCATTAGGATGACGTAGACGGCTAATAAAGTTCTTCCTCCTCCTAGTGGAAGCTCTAATATGGAAGAACTTGGTGTTACGGTCCCCGTCTCGGAGCCAATCAACCCTAGCTCGTTGTGGCCAGAAACTCTCTTCCCTATACTCAAGAACCTCCATCTCCTTCTCAAGTCTTCGGGTCTCAGCCATACGATCCCCCACATCAGGAGAAGAGTACAGAGGCTGGAGTTTTCGCTGAATAACTGTTAATCTGTGCCTCCATCTACCAAAACGCTCTTTGCTCCAACTACTGAGATTTGAGCACAACACCCTAGGTTCTGACAAATTGATTCACATAGACCCTGTTGTGTGGAGATCTCAGGCCAGACCCTACTAATAACATCACTCAAGTCATCCTCTTTGAACCAGAAGGCTTCAAAGCAGAAGGGACGACCATGCCTAACTGGAAGTGTGCGAGAAGCAGCATAATATAACATAACATGACGATGGTCAGAAACAGAGAAATCCAAGTGGTGTACCTCAGCAGTGGGAAATATGTCACGCCAGCCAGAGTCAGCTACCATCATGTCCATGTTTTGTTATGAGTTGGGATTTCTAAAATGTTGTTTTTTTTATTAATATTTTGGGATTTGGAATACTTCAATTTGTAATATTTTATTTGTTTCAAGCTCAAAAATTATAGCATTACCAAATGCCAAAATTTGGTAATATGATGAATATGCTATCTTGGTGAGGTTACCTCCCATAAAAAGATAAAATTGGGATTTGTAAATTTTTCTCTAATTAAGAGGTAAGCACACTCATTTATGAAATTTGTCAAAATCCTCTCCAATTGAGAGGATTTAGCAAATTCTAAAAATTGAGCACTTTTTACACTTTTGGTATTTAATATTTTAATAATTTTCTTAAAACAAACATCATATATGGACTCCCAAAATATAAACAAACTTACTTTTTGATCCCAAAACTTGTAATCCATACCAAATACCAAAAATTTTGGTGAAACGAACACCCCCTATAAATCTAACACTCACTGTATTTTGTGTATTGTACTCATTCCTATTTTGCATTAAAAAAATCATAACCACCCACTTGATAATTAATAGTTGTGATTAACTAGTGAACTACTTTATTGATAAGGGAAAAGATCCGATCTTTATGCATGACTTGCAAAGAGAATTGGGCCTTTAATTCTTTCCAAACGGAGAACATATGAGGTGTTGGGGGTTAGAAGATAAATTGATTTCTGTGCTGAGATCATACCATGCATCTCACCAATACATGGACCCTGCACAAATTCTGTCTACGGACTTCTACCAATGCAGGATTTACATAATATTTTTTATTTTTTTTATTCCGTAGAACTTCAATCACGTGTATATCAATGGAACCGATAATCAAATTCCAGTTTCACGTACACATAATTAGCTTAGATATTCTACAACAATAATTACTAAGCTTTTATTCAAAATGTTTAGAATTGGCTACATGAATTATATTCTTTCATTTAGTTTTATTATGGGTCATATCCTCTTTTAAGTTAACTAGTTAGATTGCACGTGCAATGCATGTGGTAATTTTTATTATTTATTTTAAATTTATAATTTTATTTAGGTATTGAATGTAAGTGATGGATGAAACATATAGACATAAGCTAAAAATTCAACATTTGAACAATAAAATTACATTTAGTGATTGATTGGTTGAGAGTACACATGCAACCTGTTATTTTTGACTAAATCTCAGCATACACAATACACACACAAAAGATTTACAAAAGCAATTTCAAACAGATTAACTTTATTATTCAGATACAAAAACCTCATTTCCTAAATTACCCCTACTCCTTTATTCTATTTACCACATCAGCCGCTAGTTTTTTTTCTCTTGACACGTAAGCTTCTAATATGTGTTTTATTTACGCAAATTACACTTGGTAGGGGTAATTACGAAAGTTAGCGTTAACAATAAATAAGTAAATGAATATAAGTTATTCGAGAAATTACATTGCTTAAGGTGCATTCTACTATTGTATCTTTCTCCGAACACAATATGATATCATGTAAAACATCACCAAAAATGGCAAACAAACACTGGCAATAATTAGGGAAAATACATGAAAAATTTCATCGTGATTACAATAGAAGCAAGTCAATAATCACCTTTCCGGTCAAAAGAAGTCACACAAGACACTCGGGCAATGGTTCCTTCCCACCGCTTGCAGCAGGTAATACTTTCTGGCATTCTGGGATAGAAAGCCCCCTGAAAATATAAACGTTGCGTCATCTATTTAAATATTTTGGCCAGGCTCAGACATTCTAGAAGGAAGCACACCAAAAGTCTGCTAATGTTGTATCAAAGTTTCATTCTTTTGGCAATATTTTTAAAAAAAGTACACTTGTCTTCAATACATAGCATATATTACAATCAAACTCACGTCATCAGGATCAAGTAGTGATGTTTCTCACAATAATCCAGTCATTCCTCTCATTCCACCTATAACCTATCAAAATTCAACGACTTGAGATCAATTAACGTTATCCACACACTATCGGCTATGTGCCAGTAATAGGTGTGTTGCCCACATAACCACATGAGAAACATAAAATTGACATATCTGTAATTTGTTGAGATGAGCCCCATATCCACAGTGATGTTGCCAAGTTGAACTTTTCTATGTTCTGATTTTAGCTTCTTCAACCGCTCCTACAATGTATAGTAAAATAAACAGGGTAAGGCTCAAGAAATCAAGCAATTATAAGCAAAAAGTAGCATAAGTCTGAATGTTATATTATTATTACAATGCATAGAGAGAAGAAAGCTTGATTTTGGGTTTAAAAATAACATGTTTGATGTTTAATGTTTTAGGTTTTAGTTTATGTGTCATCTTTAATGTATGCTTTGAATAACTACTCTACATTCAGTATCATCTGAAAACTAATATTTTGCAAATAATTTCTAAATGTGCGTTGATCTATTAAATTTCTTATTAAAATCAAGCAATATCTTATTTGTAAATCTTTTGTGTGTGTTTTGTATATGCTAAGATTTAGCCATAGAGAACTTGTTGCACGTGCGTAAATTTTATTGGATAATTTTTTATTAATAATATGAATATAGATGTTTGAAAATCCTTCACTTGCATCTTTCCCTGCTATCCTATTACCACTACCAATTTTAGATAGCTAATAAATATCTCTGTATACTTTTTCTGATGTCTGAAATTAATGTTTAACAAGATGAACGAGTGCTAATTAAGCTGAAGAAAAAAATTATGCAAGCAAGAGTAAACAAAATGTATGCCACTCACACAAATATTATAAAAAAAATCCTCAAGTAATTGAAGATGCGGTCAAATGACCTCATAATTCTACTTACCTTCTTGTTCGCAGCAGCAAGTTCCTCCTTTATTTTTCCTTCAAACAAACATATATTTTTAAGACAGATCGCAGCACATCAGTATGGTAGAAACATGCTCAAGAAATAAAAAAAGTAAAATTTATGAAGAGATCTCACCATCATTTGGCTCCAATTCTAGTGCTTTTTTGAAATTTTCTACCGCAACATCCACATTATTCAGTGCTATTTGTGCCTGGATAATTTATAAGGCTAAAACTTAGCCACCTAAAGCATGAGCAGTCACAATATAGCCAATATATATTTCTGCTCAAAATAACGATGATAGGAGTAATATTCCTATTTATGATAGGAGTAAGATATATGAACCGGTAATACCACTATTATTGGTTTGAGGAAGTATTTCACCATCATAAGTAGTTGTGTCCAAATTGGTAACAGCTTCACTTCCGTTATTTTTTATTGTTGCCCTGTCATAAGCCCTGACCACCAACAGAAGAACTGTGGTAGTTAGCAACCACGTTAAACTTGTTATTCATACTAAGGAACTTATTGCTAACATGTAGAAAATTAGTGTTCGGTAGGACCTTGCAGCTTTAATTTCGCTATCAAATAACCCAAGATATATATACCTGCAACAAGAGAATGAATAATCAAGAATAAACATGAAGTAATGAGCATTTAGAAAACAATTACACCTACAAGAGCTTTTAAAAATGATGTCACTGTTTGAGATGAGGACCCAAAAAGAAGGGAAATTGACTTGTGCGCTGAATATAGATTCTTATCGACTAAAATTTAACAATCACAAACAAGAACAAAAGCAAGGTGAAAAAAAGGAGTCGTATGAGAGGATGCACATTGCTAATATTGCTCAAGAAAGAGGTGGAGGAAAACCATAGGCACCCATGCAATGAAAGATGCAACTAAAGTTCCTCCTCTAAAGTTTAATTTATCACTTTTTGGAATTTTAAGTTTATAACTCCCATGTTGAGGAAAATAGTTTTCCCTTGCCTGTGAAATGTCACTTTGGAACCAACTGATGGTAGGGTAGATGATGACCTGATTCATCTCCGACTCACCGAATTGTAAGTAAAATAAAGATGCGATTAAATAAACACCCACACTTCAGAAGAATATTAGCAAGATAGAATCAAGATAATTTCCTAGCAAAAATTAAATAAAGCATGTAGATAAATGGCCCTTGCTTAGAAGATTGGTTTCTCCACATAGCTTCGAAAAAGTATTGTACATTTCATCAATTGTTATTCAAAATTTGTTAATGTGATTAGCATTTTTATTATGATTTGTGGATATTTAGCCATCAAGAAAACATCCAGTGAACACTTTCCATACAAGTTAGAAGGTTTTACGTCTTAGGACAGATATCTAAGGAATTGTCCCATGCGAGCTTCCCACCGGCCACATTTGTGAAGTGTCACCCCTCTATACCTGGAGCTCCCACAAGCAAATCCATTGATTTGGCGACAAAATATATGCACAAACTCTTCCTTTGTCAGGTTCTTCATCTGAAAGAAAGAAAAACCAGGAAAAAAACCAAATTAAAACTAAATCATTCATTTACAAATAGATCGGTAGATAATAAAGTATCCAATCATCCAGACATGTTTAAGATCATCCTCATAATCACTAATATTGAAGTTGATATCAGCATCAACCCCACGAAGTCATTGTGCATGTATGTTAAAATAAATATCTAGAGTTATGAAAAAAATGTTGGAATTGGCTTTTTGGAGCGTATACCGTAAATAAACCTAAATTATCATCACATTTATATTTATGTTGATTTGATAAGTTCGTGTGTTCTCAATTCTTATTCATAATTCAAATGTAGCACCCATCAGAACTTGCCTTAACAAATTCTCTAAAAATGTCCTCGTGTTAAATGCATGATTTTTATTCTCCTAAATTTCCTTGGCTAAAGCCCTTTGGATAATTACAAAAGTTGTTCTACTGCAACAAATACACATGCTCTCCTTTGATACATTACACATATTATTTAATTATTATTATTTTTAGCCGTTACTGGTTCTTTTGATGCCATATCTCATCTTTTGTGTTGAAGTAGTGAGAAGTTGTTCTCTTTGTTTCTATTTAATTATCTTTAGAGATGTTCTACCTATTCTAAAATGCAAATTAAACTATATCAATGTTGTCTTGGCTTTTATGTTTTGATTCAACTAAAAGGATCAAGGACTTTGTTATATTATACTATCATTTTCCTATCCCAATGCGCGAGCTAGATGTTCCCGTTGAATTATATGAAAGGAAGACCTATCCATTTGAATTCTCTACAGTTGAAATGCCGTATGAATCATATAATGGGGTAAACGTGAGGTTGGTGTAAGCTATAGTTATACTTGTATAGTCCCAAGTAAATGTTGTTGTTTCCTACAAAGCTTACACAATGTCCATTTATAATTTTTTTCCCCTCCATTTAGTAAGAGTGGTTTATTTTACATATTTTGTCATAATGAACTTTCTTGCATACCTTGAAAAAATGCATAAGAGATATTATGGTACCATATTATAAGCATCTAGCTTTCACATTGAAGAAATTGATAGACAGAAGGATCAACATCAGAAAAAGGATTCAAAATATCATGGTACCATGAATGATGAAGATGAAGAGAGCTTGAAGAAGGGAAATCATATAGGGGAAGATCTCAAAGCTGGGAAGAATTCTAAAAAGGAGATGAAAGAATGGGATGGAAAGAAAGATGATGGCAGAGGAATTAAAACTATTGATGATAGAAAGGGGAAGCACATCTATGGTTCTGTTAGCTATGATAGTGCTAATAGTGTAAGGCATGAAGGGAGGGGAAATTATCATGGGGGTGTTCCTACTCTACATGATTTCGAGGATGATTTTGATACCAACAGCAGAAAAATCATGAGGAAAACTTCAAACAAGTAGTTGAGAGGCCATATGTGCTAGGGAACCGAGAGTTTGGATTCTGATAGTTATTCTAGAAAACCAGGTATTAGAAAAAATGCTCAAACTTTAATTAAGAAACATAGTAGATGTGACACAGATTCAGATTCAGACTTGGACAGGAAACGAGACTAATACTCAAAAATCTGATTGTGATGATTCTGAATCTGATGGTAATTATCAGAAAATAAACAAAAAAGAAAAGGTGATTGAACACAAGAAGCATGGCAGAATGCACAAAGCCTTCACTTCAGACAGTGATAGTGACAAGGATTATGCCATGCATAACAAAGCTACTAAATTACAAGCTAAATAGAATTTAGCAATGGTCAGGGAGCACACATTTATTCTCAACCTTGTTGCTGGAAAGGAATTTAGCCGAGATTCCAAAATCCAGCTACAGTAACTTCCTATTAAGAATAATAATAAGTTCAGGAATCATCCCTTTATTCATAAGATGTGAGGTCATGATTGAGGAAAGACCTTAATAAGAAAAAGATAATAAACTCTTATTCATAAGATGTTCAACTTCTAGTTTACGGTTTGGAAAAAAATAGAAGGACTAAAATATGGGAATATCAGATACTTGAAGGAGGTGGACATCACATTATTCATAAATTTCTGTCGTTCAGCATTTTTTTAATACCTTTTGGTGAAAGTTGGAATTCTTCTTGAAACACATGAAGCATCAGGACCCAGTGCAGACTGACTTCTGAATGGACAACATTTAGTTTGCTTTAAAAAACCAATCAAACACTGCTTAATGTTAAAAAATTCCTGTAGATGACCATTATTTTAACAGCTCCCTGCCAGTGTAGGATGCTTTAAAATTTCTGAAGCCAGGAGGCATTTACTCCATATACTCTCTTGTAATCACCCATTTATTCTGTTTAACAAGCTGTTAACTTGATTAGAAGTTAGAACACAACAACCTGTACAAAGCTTAGATGGCCCATTCATTAGCCTTAAAATTTGAAATGTGCTTCAGAAATTATAAACAATATTCATGATTAAATTTGAAAACAAAAGAAGATAAGTTGATTAATTAATGTTTTTTCTCATAATGTCTCTAACTAAAAACAATCATGCAACTTTATTTTTAATTTCTGATTAAGTCGTATACACATGGGCGCATCCCCATTGATTGCATTAGCAATTTACATAAGGCTCAGTACATCTAAACCACACACACGTTTACAGGTTTTACAATTTTTGGTTTTGGAGAGTAGAAAACAACTTTCATAGGAAATCCAAGGAAGAGAGCACATATACAAATAAATTTCAAAATAAAAATCAAAGTATAGAAACTACGCAACTCATACCTGAATATTTTATTTGATTCATAAAATCACGAAAGACATAAGCTCAGGCATTCTACTCTAATCTCTGCTGGTTCAGTTCCTAATTATTCCAAACATATCCATTGCTTTGGTCGGTCCTAAACATTGTTGGAAGGTAGGCCGACCCATCCTACTAAGTAAGGGAACATCCGGCACATCAAGCTAAGATGACTCTTAAGGAGGTTGTTCTTGGAACTTCATTGTTTAAGTGGAAGGGGGTTATAGGGGAAAGAAAGAGGATTTTCTAGTTCGAAAGGATGAAATGATAAGATAACAATGATATAAATTTCAAAATCAAAATCAAATTTAGAAAAGGATGAAATGTTACATTCTTCGATGGTTTTCCTTCTTGATCCGATCAAATGCCCAAAATCTGAGAACTGAGGAGATTGTGAATGCGTGTGGTGGTGGGCCACACCCACGTGTTTGTAAGGCCACTAGTTTAGCGGTGTGAGCAAAGCAAATCTTAGGGATTTGTGAAGAGAGTTTTGTGCAGTCTCTTGTGTTTTCTTTTGTGAGAGATTAGAGAGTTAGTTTGAGGGTTTATTTTGTGAGATTGTAAACCTATTGTATTTTCTCTCTAATAGTAGATCCTCCTCCTTGCCCCGTGGACGTAGGCAGTTTGCCGAACCACGTAAAATTGGTTGTTTGAGTTTGTGGCCATTGTAATAGTTTTTAGGATCCCTCGACGCGCAGTCCTAGAGCTGACGAGAGGAAGAGCAAATATCCCACTTTGATGGGATATTAGGCTTTCAGATTCTTGTTCCCTTTGAGAAACAAGAATTCTTATCGATCTTTCTCTCTTATTGTGCACCAGAAACTCTGCCGAAATTTCCGCTGCGCACAACAAGTGGTATCAGAGCCCAGATTCCAGATCTAGGGTTTGGTTGGAGGAGTAGATCAATTTGGAGGCCCGTTTAGGACTTCGTTGGTGATAAAGGTGGGATCTTTTGGTAAAGACTCTATCTTTCAGTTTTGGATCTATTCTTTGTTCGTTGGTGCGTAAGATGTCGGGGAAAGAAGGTGCTTCGGGTGTCGAGGGTGGTGCTTCTGGCGTGAAGACCATTCAGAGTTTGAATATCCACTCTATGAAGATAGATGTGGAGAAATTTAATGGCACAAACAACTTTGGATTATGGAGATGCGAGGTTTTGGATGCGCTGAACGCGCAGAATTTGGAGGATACCTTGGAGTTAGATGGCAAGCCAGATGAGATTGAAGAGAAGGTTTGGAAAAAGATGAATCGAACGGCGTGTGGTGTGATTAGGTCTTGTTTGACTCAAGATCTAAAATATGATGTGATGAATGAGACTTCTGCGAAGAAGATTTGGGAGATTCTCGAAAGCAAGTATTTGACCAAGAGTGTGGAAAATCGCTTGCATTTGAAGAGGAGACTTTATCGTTTCCAGTTGAAGAAGGGAACCTCCATTAGAGATCACATGAACCACTACACAAAGCTTCTTGCGGATTTGGCGAATGTGGTGTCAAGATTGAAGATGAGGACAAGTCGTTGCTGTTGTTGAGTTCCTTGCCCGACGAGGAATATGAGACATTCGTCCTTACTCTGATTAATGGGAAGGCATCACTTTCGTATAGTGATGTCACTGCTGCACTTGTGAATTATCAGCTTCGAAAGAAGGATAAGGAGGCTTCAGTTGAGCCGGTAGCAGAGGCGTTGGTCGCAAGAGGGAAGAATCCAAACCGAAAGAATTGGAAGTCACAGTCTAGATTAGGAAAAGATCAGTGTGCTTAGTGCAAGGAGACTGGTCATTGGAAGAAAGACTGCCCAAAGCTCGACGAATGGATGAAGAATAAGCAGAAGGGAAAAGGGAAGCAGCCATCATCAGAAGCAAATATCGTATCAGATGGTAATAATTCTGACTCTTCTATTTATTCGCTTTCTATCAGTCCTACAGATAGCTATTCGGAGGAATCTGAATGGATGTTGGATAGTGGTGCGACCTATCCTGTGTACCCTAGAAGGGAATGGTTCTCCAGTTTTGAGAAGCTGGTGGATAGTGGTGTGGTGTACATGGCTGATAACCGTGCATGCCAGATCCTTGGGATAGGAAGAATTCGCATAAAGATGTTTGACGGGACTGTTAGAGAGTTAAACAATGTGAGATATGTTCCTTCTTTGAGGAAGAACTTGATCTCGATTAGAGCTTTGGTTGGAGAGGGTCTGAAGGTTCGTGTTGAGGACATGGTTCTCGAGATTGCGAGAGACTCTTGTATTTTGATGAAGGGCGTCAGGAGAAATAACCTGTATTACTTGACTGGAGGTATAGTGGCAGGTGGAGAGCAGACGACTTCTGTTGATTCGACTAGACTGCGATATTTGGGGCTTGGCCATTCCAGTATTGATTCCTCGCATAGATTGAAAGAGGGTGCAAAGACCTGCAGTTTGAAGTCCAGTGAACATGTTGATGTGAGCAAGAAGACCGAGGTGAAGTGTGGCACATCTATTCACCGTGCTAAGGGTCGTTCTAGAGGAGTTCACGTGGATGTTTGGGGGCCTTCTAAGGGAGCATCATTGGGAGGTAATAGAAGTTTGGTTTCCTTTGTTGGTGATGTTCTAGGAGTGTTTGGGTTGCAACCAAATCCCCTTTGGAGAAAGTCCTAGTGGTATCCAACAGAGTGAAGAAGTGTGTAAGAGACAGAAAGGTGAAGGTACTCCATTCTGGTGGGAGGTACAAGATGGACCTATTTCTGTATTGGAGCCGAGCTCACGGCATTGCGAGACACTTCATTGGAAAGGAAATCTTGAGGCAACTAGATAGGGTGACAAATTTGGAGAACCGTGCCTTGCTAGAGGAGGATCGGTGTTTGTGGTCGAGCAATGGTTTGCAGAAGAGTTTCTGGACAGAGGCTTCGACATATTTGGGTCATCCTATTAAAGAGTTGTCAACTGTTGCGATTGGAGGTAAAATTCCATTGGAAGATAGGTCTGGTAGTGTCACTTTGGTTGAGGCTTCGATGAGGAAGCCAATTGACTCTCAGCAGGTGGAGAGGTTTGGACAGACCTTAGAGGTATCGCAGCGGGTGGAGATGGATGCTACTCCACATTGGGTGAAGATTACTCCAGATCATTCTGCATTGGTTGGGATTCTAGCTGAGGTGACACAGCGTGGGAGTCATTTGAATTCGGATGCGGATGATAAGTTGGGTTTTGATTCGAGTGTAGCTGATAGACATAGTTTGGATATGGCAAGTGGTTCACCTCAGGTGAAGGTGTTTGAGGCCATTGGAGGTGCTATCAGTCGCAGACTTGATCGTGATGTTGGAGAAGGGTTGCGAACTCTTCTAGTGGATTGAGGCCTTTAGAGGCCATTTGGGTGAACTACGTTCGGCTTGATTCCTTGGGCAAGAGGATACGTAGGCAGTCTTTATGATGCAGCCAGGTTGGATTTTGATGGGGGTGAGATTGATTTGGTGAGTAGATACCGACGTTTGGAGAGTATTCACATTCTCATTTGGGTTCTCGACTTGTTGTGGATTGAGTTCGTTATCGTGAATTGTTTCACTTCGTCCTGGACACAACAAGTGAGGCATTTAGTTAGGTTGGTATCGGCTCAGTTTTGGAAAAACTTCACCGAGGTGGAGAATTGTGAATGCGTGTGGTGGTGGGCCACACCCACGTGTTTGTAAGGCCACTAGTTTAGCGGTGTGAGCAAAGCAGTACGTGGGGGAGAGTGCGGAAGCGGCAGGCCCAGGCCCAGTTTCGGTTTTGGCCTGGTTCTTTCTCCTATAAATAAGTTAATGCTCCTAGGTTTTTTCGTCGAGCAGAGGCAGGGTACGTACAAGAAAATAATTAGCGGCGGCTACAAGTGTTTTCGGCAGAGTTTATTCGACAGGGAAGTTGAAGGCAGACCGACTGATTTTGATCAATCTCTTTTTGAGGGTCTTGTGCATCGTCTTGAGAGATAATTGTGTGAGAGGTTTGAGAGATTGTATGAGGGTTTAGATTGAGTGATTGTAAACCCTAGTTGTATTCTCTCCTCTCTAATAGTAGATCTCCCCCTCCTTGCCCCGTGGACGTAGGCAGTTTGCCGAACCACGTAAAATTAGTTTGTTTGAGTTTGTGGCCATTGTAATAGTTTTAGGATCCCTCGACGCGCAATCCTTGAGCTGACGAGAGGAAGAGCAAATATCCTACTTTGATGGGATATTAGGCTTTCAGATTCTTGTTCCCTTTGAGAAACAAGAATTCTTATCGATCTTTCTCTCTTATTGTGCACCAGAAACTCTGCCGAAATTTCCGCTGCGCACAACAGAGATGATGACAGAGGAGGTGCGGTGATGATGAGGGCAATAATACTCATCGTTAGCAATTAATGATTTAAGAAAGTGGGAGGGTGTCGCCGAAGCTAAAACGTAACCTATGATGGCTGCTAGAGCGAAGTCGTAACCGACGAAGAGGAGGATGAAAGGAACGAAGGATTAGGGCTCCCAATTTCTGAACTCTGTTTAACCATGAAAAGGGATAAAGTTGTTATATTTACAATAGTTAAAGGGTATTTTAGGTAAGGAAAAGTTTTTCTAGAACTCCCTCTTTTAAAGGGTAGATGATTATTATCATATCATTCTGAATTGTTTCCAATCAAGTGCTCTTAAATCTTTTCTCCCGTTAACCTATAATATTATCATTTTTTCTAATCGGTGCGCTAAGAGGTCTTCGTTAGATGTGTCTAAACTACATTAGTCAATTTTCTCACATGTAAT